AAACGTCTAAAACCTGCAGGACAGTAGCTCACGAGGACCGGAGTTGGAGATCCCTGGCTTAAACTGTGCTATTTTGGAGATGTTCAGCGATATTTCCAAATGGACAAGATTTTGAGATTGTAAACCACGTGGCTGCAGTGTCGGATGTAGAAACAATCAGACTGATATCGAAGTAGAAACATGATCAAAAGTCATTGTCTACTTCCACTGATTCTCAATAACCTCTCTCTTGCATAGCATGACTCACATTTCATTGACATTTGTCATTTGTTTGCCCTGCAGGCTACTGGTATATTCCAGCTGTGAACGAGTGAGTAAATGCTTCAGTTTAACCTCATGTTCATGGTCCTATAAGTCAGTCTTTTCATATACTGTGGTGTGTTCACTCAGTAGTGTCACCACAGCAAGGATACTCACCGTGGGTACTAAAACACCTAATTAAACAGCTTTATTGCGCCCAAGTTTCCAGTGAAGACAAGAAGCAGCAGCACTGATGTTTACAATAAGCAGAGCAGCTGTGGTTGACTTGCCCTAAGTTAAAGTCTCTTTAATCTCTTAACTCTGTAGTACTTAGAGGCCAAGTACAGTTTACATGTATGCGTCCCCTTATTTAACAGTATCAATATGAGAAAACCACCTTTTTGCACCTCTGTTCCAAATTGATGGATAAATATCATCAAAAACATATTTCATAGTATTTTGCCACTAAACTCGTGGTATGTTTGGACTGTATTTCTTTGTAATCAATCTAACCATGACTCCAGTCTGCTGTATGTGGACTATGTTAGACCTGTCAAACTTGGCATTGTTCTTTACGGATACTATAATTCGCATTATTTCATGAACAAGATGATGGCTACCAACACAGAAGGAAATGAAAATGCCACCCACAGTTTAAAATCGTCTACATAGGTTTCAGTCACATGATAAAATAACATCACAGCAGCTTTACTGATTCAACTCACTTCATCTGAGCACCATCCGCATGTCTCGGAGACCTGGATGCATTCCCCACATGACTGTGCGTTTGCCTTGATGCATATGCTTCCCTCTGGAAGAGACAGCACAAGTTCTTTTTTTAGCCAACAGTTTTTCCATTAGTTCACTAAGTCAAACCAGCTTTTTGCTGCAAAGAAAAAGCAACAAAAAAAAAACCATCCCCCTCCCGGTTCAGAACACTGAGTCATGCTGGGAAGAGCTCTAGGCAGCTCACCAAGATGACTTCACCCTGTAAAAAAAAAAAACCCTCCCACTGTTAGCCAAGACGACCAACGCAGTCATAAAATCATGAATGGAGAAACACAAGATTTAAAAAGAGGCAATGAAGGAAAGAAAGCAAGTTTGAAACTATTCTACCGCTGTAATGCTTTAAACACTTTTGTCTACAACAGACAAAAGAATCACTGGATCCATGAACACTGTGGTGACTGTACACAATGCACAGAGCTGAAAACATGCTCTGGTGCTGCTTAGCTAATATTTAACACAAATTTGACATTTCTGTGTTCTTGCTTCTTACCTTGCTGTGCCCAGCTGCCACTGAGCGACGCCGATAATGTCGCTATTAAAAGTAACCGCAGATCCATCTGAGAAAGAGAAACATATGAAATAGGTCACCACAGGATGAAAGACAGAGATCTGTTGGACACGTTTTTCTACAGGTACACCGGTATTCAAAATATGCATCATTTTCGACTTACAAACGTTTGCAGCTGCACGGAATTGTGTAGTGCAATTAAACCTCAACAGTCACATGCATTTTGTTGTCGTTGGAGATGTTTATTGTGACACAAGCTAATTTTTCAAAGCGATTCACACTGAGGTTGCATCTGAAAGGTGTGATCACACAACCTTCCATGTGTGCACACACAGGAAGATGTGGTAAAAAGCTCATGAAGCCAAACAGACGAACTCTGTTACGGCCTTTAAATAGGACTGCATGGTGGCTTTAGTTGTTAGTGCCGTCGCCTCACAGCTAGAAGATCCTCAGTTTGCGTCCCGTTTAGGATGCCTGGGATCTTTCTGTTTGGAGTTTGCATGTTCGCCCTGTGCAGCGTAGGTTCTCACAAGGTTCTCTGGCTTCCTCCCAGTCAAAAATCTTGCTGAGGTTAATTGGTGACTATAACTGAATGCGAGTGTGCTTGTCTGTCTCTCTGTGTGGCCCTGTGATAGACTGGTTACCTGTCCAGGGTGTCCCCTGCCTTCACCCTGAGTCAGCTGGTACAGGCTCCAGCCCCCCAGTAACCCTAGTGACGATTAAACGGTGTATAAATAATGGATGGATGGTCTAAAAGTACCAGGTTTCAATTCAGGATTTCTATTTTTCCTATGGAACATAGCTGCACAGTGCACGGCACACAAATTCCCTTTTTTTTAAAATGATACCATTGCTTTATAATTCTTAAAAACTAATTTTCATTAGACCACAGTGATGAATACAAGATTTTAAAAAAATATCAGATCATCGCTATGTAATGCATCAACGCAGATTTTTTTCTTATGTCGTGTTATTCTGATGATGAGGTTTTACAGCACTGAGCTCTATTCCAAATATGGAGGAATGATTCACCCACACTCTGCTGGCAGCTCATCAGCACCTCCATGAACCAGCACACTGCACATTTGCTTTCTGACTGAGGTTTTGTAACTTCTGTGCTTTGTCTGAAAAAGGTAGCTGATTATCTCAACATGATTCGACAAGAAAATCACCTTGTAGGACAGACAGCAGACTGAAAAGATGTAATAAAAATGTCACAAAAGTGGGAGAATTACCACATTTGCTTAAGGTGTTTAGTCTTATCCAAAGAAATGCACAACACTGAGTCTAACAGCAGACATGTAATGACTGTAACAGATGAGTAGCAGCTTTAATACTGAGATGACAGACATTTCAAGCTACCACAGCAAAGAATGCAAGCTAGAGAGGAATAACTGCGGTTCATTAGGCAGTCCCATGATGCCTTTCTACCACACTAAGACGGACTGCTAAGCATAAACCACCCAGCAACAAGAAAAACAGAACTAAACAAAGATAAAAATCCAAAAAAGATTGTTAGTTTCACAGACAGCTTAGCCTTGGTGGTGGTGGGTCAACATTTCTACCTGACAGCGAATAGAAACACCACTATGGTGACAACTGCACAGCAGAAGACAAAGACCAAGGGTAAGTGAGTTCGCATGTGTGTGTGCGTTTCCATATTTGGTCAGGCGGTTTCATGCCTCTTCCTGAATCTCTGCCATTCCCCACAACTGCAGTGACACACTTCCTTGACTGGCTGCCCAATCCTCAAACTCAGAATTTCTGACCAGCTCTCTGTGTGTTTGCCCCAGAAACATAAACGTAGGAAATATTCTGTGTTGACAACAGCTAAGTCAACACATGTGTCTCAAAATAGTCTATCGCTGTTGGATATTCTCAAGATAAGAAGGGTCAATAGAATTTATTTATTTGTACTAAACGAGAAAATGTGAAGTTTACAGTTAACTATTGGAGAAGTGGAGGGACTTTAAAGCAGTGAAAAGGTGTGATATTCTAGCTGCTGTGCTGTGGGTCAAAGGGTACATGCAACCACAAAGCCACCACATCCTGTGAAATGAGGCCTAGCAATCAACTTAGATGCCCACTTCCTAAACATGCTGCACACTGGTACCAAACAAAAGCATGATGGTAGACAACTCATGTTGCATCCAGCAGAAATAACATAATTAAATTAGAGTTTCAAGCCATGAACAGGATATTTTTTGTCAACTGAATTCCAGTTTATCAAAATGAGGTCTAACGATCAACTTAAATGCAAGTTTCCTATAAATGCTAAACACTGCTCCCAAAAAAACCCCATAATGGTCGACAACTAGTGCTGCATCCAGCAGATATAGCACTGATTTTTCTTCCAGACTTTCAAGGCACGAACAAGACATAGATATTATTTTTGCACTATTACTCCTTCACACAACTGCCAACCAGAACGTGACACAAACAATCACTTGTGGCGAAGATTGGCAAAATGTTCAACATGCAATGTATCTGGTAGGATGCGTCATAAAATTAAAACCAGCACAAACCGTTGACGCTCCACCCTGACATTCCTGCAGACCATCTCTGTTTACCGCTCTGGGGACCTCAGAGCTGCAAATTGCAGAGAGTTGACAGATTGGAAGGCATTCAGCGCCTCCATTAGTCAGAGCCAATGGCATTTGTGGTGCTAATATTGAGGAACGTTAATCTTGGGGGAAAAAAAAGTTTGCTTCCACATCTATCCTGAATAAAATATCGAGGACAACGCCCAGATATAACTGTGATCAAATCTCAAAATTTCCTTGACCTATTAGTCTTTTCTTGAAGTTATGTTTATTTCTTTGTTGCTGACGTTCACTCATAGTGGGTTTCAATTAATATCACATGAGCAGGCAATGTCCTGTAGAGCCTCACAGCCTTCTTTCATTCTACCCTTTGGAAACAGCAGTCATCAGCGCAACACTATTATCTGAATCAGAGTCCGACTGGTAGAATTTACAGGTTCAATAGAAATGTTGGGACATAACGTCAGCGTGACTTCCCACCCTGTCACAGCTGATAAGAGCTGATAACTTCAAGTAGACACAGCGAGGAGGCTTAATCCACAAAGGACTGTGGTAAAAGTACTCCTCAAAACTGTGAAACACGATAAAACACAGTCAACTGGAACATGATCAATTCAGATGAGAAAAAAGAGGTCAAACAGCATCTCAGCAGGTAACTCCTGTGTTTTAGAAGCTCCAGCTCCTTTGCAAAAACAATCCTCGGTATCACAGTTTTTTAATGGAAAAGGCTGCAATTAACACTTATTTTCATGACTGAAGAAGCTGCAGAACATTTTCTCAATTCATTTACGCAACAGCTGGTCTACAAAGCGTGAGAAAAAAGTGCTAAATGCTTGTTGTAATACTTCACAACCTCGCAAGATGTATTCATAGTAAATATTTCAAAACCACCAAAATTACCACACCTGAGAAACTAGAAAACACATCAATTCATGATTAAAAAAATAAAAATAAAGTACACAAAGTCCTGCAGCTCTGGCTCCCTGTTGGTCAGCATTCATACATCTCTTAACCTTGTGCTGTTTCCATCCACTATGCAAAACTATGAAACACACTTTGTGTCTTTATCAGTCGCACATACCAGCTGAGCTGAGTAGAAGAGAAATGACAGATTTGAAAACAAAAGAGGATTGTTTAAATGGATCACAGCCTCTCAAGACAAAGCTGCTGAGGTGTGAGATGATGAGCGAAAAAACAACTGTCAAGCTAACAAAGTGTTTAAAAACTAATACAATCTTTTCCATCATCTTCCTTATTTCCCCGTTCTCTTTACCACCGTGCAGAAACTATGGCGTATGAGTGGTCGTGATGACAGACCTGAGAGTATAATATTTAGAACAGGAGTAAACCGTACCTAACCATGACTTTGTATGGTCAGGCTGCAGAAGACGGAGATGACACATGCTTTGTGTTCGTGGTGCTTAATGTTGGCGTCAGTTTTTTATTACAGCTGCAGTGCTGTTCACAATAGCCAAAGCAGCTCAGGTCTTTCCAGTACAAGTACAGCAACTGAAGCAGTGTTTCACCAAGCAGTTGTAAAATAGACAGATACTTCATTCACCCCCTTGGGGAAATTCAAGAAGAAGTTCTTCCAGCGATGCACATGTGACATGTGACTGTGGCAACACAAAGCAGGGTTCTGCTGAATGCTCCTCATCCAAATATTAGTTTTACCTATCCTGACTGTTACATTGAATTTGCTAAATTATCTGTCATTCCTAGAAATCAAATCACTCAGTTAGTTGACAAAAATAAAAAAAGCCATTTTGCTAACATATAATGAACTTCTGTCATTTCTTAAGACTCTATACACGTGTGCAACTACGACAGTTTGCCGGCTTTCTGCAATAACAAACTAAATAACTTTGGGTTTTGGACTGATGTTTGAATAAAATTAGTAATATAAAGATTAGGAAACCTTACAGATTGAATATCTATAAAAAAAAAAAAAAGCATGTTAATTGATGATTATTAGTTGCAGCTCCATAGTTACCTGTGTTCAGATTCCAGTCATTGACCTGCTCAAAATCTCTTCTCAGTTTCTTTAAACTCCAGACATACCAAACATTGACAGATGTTGCTTCTTCAGCCTTTATTACAGTAAACTGAATATCTTTTGGGTTGTGGAAATAATAAGACATTTGAGGACATCATCTTGGGTTTGGGGAAGCAGTGACTGATCGACTACTTTCACGTTTGATTAATCTACAGATTGATCGGACATGAAAATAATCTGAGCTGCCCAAAACCAATCTGGTGATAGGAGGCTGGATTCAAATTTGGACAAAAAACTGCCACAATGATGACAACAAGCATGAAGGAGACTGACATGACTGCACCGGTGGTTGTATGAATCACTACATAATCCATGATGATTGATAATTACATTAGCAGGACACAGATATGTTGCTTGCTGCTGAATGGTTAGGACTAAATAACAACCCTTACCACACAGAAAACAGCTAATATGAACATAAAATGTTTTCTGGCCTCGAAGAAATGGTTT